GTCACTTCCGGATGACATAGGCACATTGTGGCCCATTTCCCACAAGCAGCTGTGCCACCCACGCTCTTCTGTTTACCCCGCTTGCATTGGTCAATTTCACACTGCGCGGCCGCATTTTGACCCACAGCTCCCCCCCATTCCCCCCACGTCTTCTCAATCTCAAAAAACAGGGATCGAGAAGACGCAGGGGAAATTGGGGGGAGCTGCGGGTCGAAATGCAGCTGCACAGCAAATAGTGTGAAATTGACCAATGCAAGCTGGGCAAACAGAAGAGTAAGGGCGGCACAGCTGCTTGTGGGGAATCGGTCTGTGTTTGTTTCCAGCTTCTTCCCTCACCACTCCCGGTAAGTTCACCCCCATCCCCTGCTGACTGGTCTGACAGACTTGACAATCCTAGAGCCGCTAGCCTCTCTTGGGAGAAGATACAGGCTTAATGGGAATGGTGCCTGCAATAGACAATGATAGCTACGGGCAGGGGTCATTTCGTAGAAAAAGAGCTAGGGGGACTCATTAGCATAACTCATTAGCATATGCCACACACCCTGACATCACCGGAAGTGTGTCCTCCCCAAAGCCGGCGGCGACCTCCAGCGGGCACCAGCAGGGAGCTCCAGGCCCCGCCCTCCCGCACCTCACCTGGGGGGATGGCGTCCCCCCGCGTCCCCCCCCAAATGACCCCTGGCTACAGGGGGCCCTGAGTCGGGGGCCATTATCTACCCTCCCTGCTTCCCATTTCTACAAGGAGCACAGATGACTTCCTTGGAAGCCAGGTGTGTCTATAATATCCCCATAGTATTGTGGCATAGGATATATGCTATAAACAGCTCTTGCTCTTCAGGCTTTAGAAATGGTCCTCAAAAGCAAATGAGCATTTAGAACTTGCATAGAACTGACTATAACACAGTGCCTTTCCGGATCCTGCAGTAGCCAAATACAGATTTTATTTGATGAAAATCTGGAAATCCTTTCATTGAATTACTTCTCTTCTGAAGAAATTTGAAGACAGAAATTAGTAGAGCATAAACTTGTGGGTTTTTTTTTAAAAAAAATGTCTCACCCATGATGCTGTACTTGCATGGCAACTTCTAGCCAATTTTCACAGGCTGTTTATCATGGCTTGAAAATTAGACTTTGTGAGTCTCCTGAATATTGAACAGCAGTGCTTGCTGTCTCCTTTGTTAATAAGAAGGGGGGGGGATTTAATTTTCAGATGCAAATTAGAAATATTTGAATTGTGCAGGTTCTAAAAAGCCTTTAATTTTTTTTTTAATTTGGAACATCTAATATTCAGTGTGATGTGAATAATAATTATTTGAACTTAGAGATGAATATTAATGTGTTTACTGAGCTTGCCGTCTGTCGGTTGACTTACAGGCTGGTCTCAACAATCTGGGTCATAGTCTAGCACAATGCAGTCTATAAAGGTGGGAGAATAATGGGGCGAAGATGTTCCTGGACTCATACGGTGGTTGAAGGATCCCACTGAAACCAACACACTCTCTGAACACAGCAAGCGATTAGGGAGAGGTTAATTTAGAGCAGGGGTCCGTAGTCTCTTTGAGCCTGCGGCCACCTTTGAAATCCTGACACAGTGTGGTGGACGCTGCCACAAAATGGCTGCCACAGTGGGGAGAGCCAGTCATAAAATGGCTGCCAAAGGAAAGATCCTTGTACTGTAGCGGCAGCTGCTGCCAAAGCAACGTTTTTTAAAGATCTGCACAGCCAATCAAATCTTGTGGCCAGTCAGAACCCTTGGTGGGCAAAAGCCCCACCGGGTATGCAAAAAGACTTTATGGGCACCAGGAAACCACTTTATGGTGTCCATGGAAACCACATTGGGGATCTCTGAGTTAGCACCATTCTCCCTGATATGTTGGTTTTCAATATGCAGGGATTTTTTTTTTAACTGTGAGGCAACATTTAGACATGATTCCATATATCGGGGGAAGGTGCTGCTGTTAACAGAACAAGTCAGTAGGATCCAACTAGGGTTGCAGTCTCTGCATTGGGAAATTCCAGGAGATTTGGGGGCAGAGCCTGGGAAGGGTAGAGTTTGGGGAGCGAAGAGATCTCTGCAGAGAAAGGCCATGGCAAACCACCTCTGCTTCTCCCTTGCCCTGAAAGCCCCTTTCTGGGGTCGCCGTAAGTCGGCTGTGACTTGATAGCCCTTCACACACACACACACACACACACACACACACACACACACACACACACACACACACACAACTAACCATCGTTATGAGAATGGCAGGAGTTTGCAAATTATTATTATTTATTATATTATTATTATTTATTAATTTCAATTTATATCCTGCCTTGCCTGCACACTAACCACATTTAATTTAATTAAACCGTTGTTTAGCTATTTATCTGAATGCACCAGCTTTCACGTTTGTTCACACGTTGTGCTACATTAGCATTTATTTTGTCTTTTCTAGATTGAAAGTCATTCTGTTACTTTAGGAACATAAAATATGACTATGGACATTTTTACCTGGTATGAAATTATCACAACTAGCATATTAAAAATATAGTTTATCCAAACAATTATTACAAACAGAATACCCACCCACATGCAAAAACAAAACTGAAACCTTTTTCTTTTCTTCTGACAATAGCACCTCCTAAAGGAAGAAATGCATCTTGTTCTTGCATTGGAGAGTTCAGTTTGTAACCTCGGACTTGCTTGTCCTCAGTGCACAGAAATGATTTGGAAAATATTTGAACACCCTGTCTTAAAATATTTTATTCATCATGTTAAAATAAAACGTTCCATAATCATTTTTTTTTTCTTTTCCTTTCTTTTTTTAATGTTTCCAATTTTTTTTGAAAACAGAAAAGGCTTCAGGAAAAATACTGGAAAAAAAATGTTTTTTTCCCTGAATTTTTCTGGTTTTTTTCCGGGCCTTCACATCTCTAGTCTTGACTGGAAAACGGTGTTGCATTTGCAGCGGTCTGAGGTGACATGAACATTCTGTTTGTGGTCTTACATTCGTGACACCCAAGGGATGTCAGCTGATTTACAGGCCGAACCCATTCGCATTTTGTTATGTGGGGTTTCCTTCCCGATAAGTAAGTTTAGCAACAAGAGTAACCTCATTGTCTTCAGTAGGACTTCTGCCTAAGTAAAGATGCATAAACCAGACATTTGCATTCCTTCTTCAGAAGACAGAAGTTTAAAGTCATGAATGGTTCAAAACAGGAGGCCCCAGTATCCAGAACAAGGTCCCCAATGTGCTGCCCACCAACACCTTTCCTGGGGCCTACTAAGTGTTTTTATAAAGTAGGTGGGGTTTTTGTACAGTAAGGCTTCTGATAGGCCATTGGAGATTTGATTGGTTGTGGTAGAATTGTAAAACATTGCTTTTGCAGCTGCTGACACCACTGCATGAGGGTCTTCATTGTGTGACTGAAGTTGGGTTGCCAGGTCTTACCTTTGCTTTGGCAGAGGAGTCCCAGCCTCTCCCTGGAACTTCCTCGGCATGCACACGAAGCACGTGCACTGTGATGACATCACCCGGAAGTGACGTCATTGCATCGGACACATTGGGGGTGGGACCACTATCATTCAAGGGAAAAAACATAGAGTTTTTCCTTGAATGATAGAGTGTTCCCCCCCACACACAACGTGCCTGGCGTGATGACTTCACCTTCAGGTGATCCTGACACTTTCGGGGTGGGGTTCCTCCTGGCGGCCATATCTGAGCCGGTGGGTAAGGGCAGGGCTATTTTTGGGCAGGAACGCACAGGAACGGAGTTCCGGCTGGCTCCCGAGTTGGCCACGCCCAGCAGGAACTCATTAGCATAACAGGCCACACCCAACAGCAGAAACTCATTAGGATTGGCTACATTAGGGGTGTGTGGCCTAACATGGAAAGGAGTTCCTGCTACAAAAAAGCCCTGGGTTTTGACAACAAAGAAGGTAAACAGAATAAGAAGCAAAAGGTGGGTGTGGCTGGATGACCACACTTCTGGTAACATGGGGGTGTGGCCTAATGTGCTAATGAGCTGTGCTGTCAGGGGTGTAGCCTATTATGCTAATGAGTTCCTGCTGGGTTTTTTCTACAAAAAGAGCCCTGGAAGGGGTCCATTGAGCGGGCAAACCCCTGCCACCTGGGGGACCTGGCAACCCTAGACTGAAGGGAAGCTCTGGCAGCAGTCATTTTTTGGCTGGCACCACCTACTGCAGAAGCCATTTTGTGGTGGTGCCCACCATGCTGTGTTAGAATTCCATATGTGCCTTCAGGCTCAAAAGGTTTTGGGACCCCTCATCTTGATTCTATAGTAGAGATAGGGTTGCCAGCCCCCTGGTCCAGGTAGGTGTTCCTCTGCTTTTGTGGTCCCCTTTCCACTGCCAGACAACTGGGCGGCAGGGGGAAATCCTGCCTGCAAATGCCCCAGAATGTGACATAATAATGTCACCTAGAAGTGGCATCCTCATGTTGCTGACAGGGGGGTGACACTCTAGTTTTGGGGCAAACTCTATGGTGAAATTGAGCTCGGACCATAAAGTTTTGACCAAAAACTAGAGCATCACCCTCTCAACATTGGCGACATGATGATGTCACTTCCAGGTGATGTCATCACAGTGCGCATGCAAAGTGCCTGCACCAGAAGATCCCAGACTGGACCCCGGAGCCCCCTTCCGGCAGCCAGGTGGGACCTGGCGACCCTAAGTAGAGACCATTTTGCAATATGGATTTTTTAGAAGATGATTATTTTTAAAAGAAGACTATTAAGAAGAAACTTCTATAGGTTCAGCAATAGTAGTAGTATAATTTTAATAAAAATGAAGATGCCCAGTTATAAGGAGTTCCCTCCCCCTCCGCACCCTTACTATGATGAACTGGCTGTTCATATTCTTTGTTAACCCTCAAATCCTCTTAGCTTCTTTTTACTCCTCATTTAGGCAGTTGACAACTATTCTTACATATAGGTTCTTCATTTCCTGCTG